CTCCTTTTAACAGGATGCCATACTAAAAAACAGCCCCAAAAAAGCCTAAGATTTCGTTTTCCCATTCTCTTGCAATGGCTGTAAGAAAAAGAATAAAAATTATCTAAAAATAAGCTACCTGCAAATAGTTTTCTTTTAACATTCATATTTATAGAATTATTAAACTAGTGTCATTTTTAGGAAAAGCAGACGTGTACAACCTTCACTTGGTACCTCCTGCACCACTTGTATCTGTTACAACTACTGACCTCAGGAATTCTCAACCATACATTCATATTTAACTCATTTCATTATTTACTTTATTATTATATCTTTGAAGAATCTTTCAAATAGTCTAGAACCCTGTTGCAGCTATACGCTGTAAAAGAAAATTGAAAACTATCCATCAGAACACATACCAGGTATGGAACACAGAACTGCGTGCGTCCAGATGGGCACATGGGGAGACTTGCAAAGAAACTGCAAGACACCTTTTCAGGGCATGAGGCAGGAGTACTAAGATGAGAGAGCCCAGATTATTTACCATTATCTAGCACACATTAATTTAAGGAGAAATTTAAATAAAGAGGAGACAGATATTAACAGGAAATCCCCTGTGCAATGTAAGAAGGCAAAAAAAAAAGTCACTTGATAATTTAATAATTATCAAAAGGCCAGAAATGACATCTCAATATGTAATAAAAGACAGACTGAGTCAATCAGCTGCTAAGGACCATGAAAACTAAGACAAGTAATTTATTTGATATAACAGAGAAGAAATTAGCATGGGGATATAAAAACTTAAGGCAACCTTCTTAGAGTGCTGGTCAGGAATAATAATCTTATAATAAATCAATAGCATTCCAAAGGCATTGTACAAACCAATTTTGCAGCTGTGTCAAATGAAGAGGCAGCTGTTACCTCGCTGAGTCATGCTCACTAGGTATGGTGTATGGAAAGATACAGCTCTATTTCTTACATGTTAGGTAGAAAAAAAATCACATAAGACATTGTGGAAATGAAAAGAGACACAGACCATATTTGCAGATAAGCCTAGATAAGCAAGAAAAATATTGTTATAGAGAGTGACAGAAGAAAGCACACAAGATGGAAGAAAAAAAGTGAATAGTTTTCACTATCTTGCTCTTTAGTAAGCAGCTAAATATCACATAAGTTGAACAGACAAGTCAAAATATTAGTTTGGCCAGACCTACAAACTATGAACTCAGGCGGTTTTGTCTCTGCAAGTGATGTTACTCAGAATAAAGCATAACAGGAGAAAGACAAGAGCCCCAGAAAAATTGTCTTCCTCTTTTCTCATTTGTTTCCAGGCAGTATGAAGTTTAACTTACTTTGTCTCTTAAAATGACAAACAAAGGAAAAATTGTCCAGGCAACTGATAGTTTGGGCCTTATTTTTGTTCTCCCCTCTGCACACTGGTGTCACTACAATAATCTCTCCCTGAATAGATTCATGAGTTAACTATATGCAGGACCTACCAGTATGCAGAACTAGCTCATTTCTCCCTCAATTTTTACCATATTTCCCAATCATTATTTTAACACATCTTCAATAAAGACAGACGTCATGCATAGCATTTATCCACTTCTGTCAACAGGAAGCACAGAAGTTATCATATTCATATCGCTCATTTGCTCAACTTTCACCGTTTATAAATCAGATTCTTACACGCTCTGTCAAGCAGTGAGTTATGTTTGGCAGTGGACTAGTTTTATTTAATAGTTCTCTTCACCATAGATACTACACCTGGAAACACTTTAGACTCAGCAACACTATTCTTTGTAGGGCTTTTTTCATGAGTGGCAGTCTCAGTGCTGCAGTTCAAGTGATTTACCAGTGCAGGTGCTTCTCATAGTTTAGCTATTGGAGCTGTTTAACACTGTATCGTTTATTTGGCACACCTGGAACATGCCATCTCTACACAGTAAAATTATAGATGTGTGTTTGGATAATGCATAACAATCAAAGAAAGATGATTATACCGTCAGGTTTCCCCTGAAATGTTATTAGCGACCCTCTCCTTTTTGCCACGTAAGAAAGTTTCAGGAAGATGACTGTTTTCATGTATGTGTTCTAATTTCTCCACAGATCATAAAAATGTCTGTATGTCTGCAGAATTTAATTTTATAGATGGGAAAATACTTGGACAGTGGTTGCACACATGTAGAAGCTGAGGGATGATAAAAGTGTGAATTTCAATGTTGAGTGCCCTCTATAAGCAGTAGCACCAAGGAACATCAGATTGTAGAAAAGGGATAAAAAGAGATCATAGGAGATTAGCCCTCCCGGCTGTTAAAACACTACGTAAAAGTAGGCTTCAATGTCACTTTGAAATAAACCAGATGCTTACTTCATTTGATTCTAGATACTGGAATCAAAATCAACATCCATAAGGATTTTTCAGAGTATATTGATTTTTTCCCCTTTGGGCTAGTTCTTTTGGGTTTTTAAATCTGAAGAGCAGGGCAAGAAAAGTCTAAAGAATTGCAAGAAACCAACTAACTCCTAGACAGGGTCTAGATATAAATAAGATGCTTTTCCTAATGTCTCTGAAAGTGAAGAATTAGGAGAAACGCTTCTCTCATGTCAAGAGGAAGTTACTAAACAAAAATCAGATATAGAAATCTGTTACAATAGGAAGGCACTAATGCCAAGACAAGAATCTCCAGATAACAAAGCCTAAGTCCACATGTAGGACAGTGAATGGTGAATCAGTTAGCATACTACGGAGAAGAAAATGGAAGTGCAGTGGATAAGCTGTGAAATCACTACAGAATATAACAATAAGGAAAAAATATTATATATCTGATAAGCCATACAAACAAAAAAGGGTCAATGCAAACATTGCCAACAAGGATGTTTGGAAAAATTGTTTTTGCAAAGATCCTGATATAAGAGATAATTCCATACTCTTAGAATAGCCTCAGATACACGGAGACAATGATGGAGGCATGACAAAGGTACTAAAAATTAGGTAATCTTTTTTTTTCCCCTTAAAATAAATTTCTCTAGTCTGATAGTTCTCATGACCTAGTACAATTGCTTCTCAAACTTGTCACTTAGCTACCTTCCAATAAGAAATATCTTTGTAAAAGATTCAGTACTCATAATGTGTATTTCATTTGCTGTAAAATGCAAGTATTTCTGTCAAGTTTTATAAAAATTCAGCTTAGGTGAATGTTCTTGACCAGAATCTTGATTAAAGAATCATAGAAAGTGCACACAAAAGGGATTCAACCATATAAGGCAAGCTTGTAAAACAAAGGGACCATTTTTGGAAACAATTTTGTAGTCTTAGTTTAAACCCAAGGATAATTGCTTCTCAAACTTATCACTTAGCTCCCTTCTAATAATAATAAAAAAATCTTCGTAAAGAAACTGTATTAGCAGCCAAAAATACTGACAACGGAATTAAAAGTACAAGTGACTTGAAATAATCTCATATCACTGTACCAATAACGATAAGAGATTGCATAAAGTCATACGTAAAGAACACATTTCCTATGTACATGGGATGGGAAGGGAATAGTTTCACTTATTTTCTTTGGTGATGATCTATTCCTGTGCTGGTTTGGAGGTAAGGAGTTTGTCGCAGAACCCAGGAGTGGTGTCACACCCATACAAGCACTAGAGGATGTTGTACAGATGATATTACTCTTACATATACATGTGCAGTGTACTACATTTGACTTCAGATACTTGGTTGAAAAAAAACCAAAACAAAACAAAACACCAACAAAACTTTAATATAGATGTCTGTGCTACACATAAACTGGGGTGGTATCTGATAAAGAGCAAAAGTCAAGGCTGGTTAGTAATCCACTTTCATAGAGAACTGCCAAAACCAGATTGTTGGACCTGGCTGAAAGATCCCCTTCTGTAATCTTATTGAGATCCTGTTAGATTTGAAACATCATATAAAAATTGCTTGGAACAATTTCCCCCCTAGCAACACTTACACAATGCTTCTGCTGTAAAAGAACAAGGATTCTGGTGTTCTGGACTACTCCAGGAACAGATACAAGCTTTCTAAATGTTGAACAGCTGAAGATGTGTAAAGGAGTACAAGAGAAGTAGAAGGCCAACTTTCTGATTTTACAGTACAGATTTTAATTCTTCCTCAAAGGCAGCTGTTTTCAAACATAAATACAGCGTGTTTAGGAACCGCTAGATGATAGAATACGTGTTCCTACCATCTCTTAAGCATCACATTTTACAAGGCTGTTAAAAAAAAATTCAAATGAAACTCTATAAAGGTTAACTCAGGCAACATGAATGCGATAGCAAACACACAGTTGCATATGCGTAAGTGTTAATATATTTTTCCATAGTTACTGTATTTGCGTGCTGTGAAAACCAAAAGCTAATAGCATTAAGAGGAATTAAACAGGAATAGTATTCATTGGACAAGGCAAGGCAAATCAGACAAATAAACAAAAACAGTGTTTTAAAGTTCCATGCTAATTAAAAAACATTTGATTATTTTTGAAATTAATTTCATCCCAAATTCCAATTGAAAATCCTAGAGAAAATGGGGAGAAAACTGTTACTTATTACTATTTTATCTTCAAAATTTCCCAGGACTTGCAAAACATGGTGTCCAAATTAACCATCCCTGTACACCAGGATGTCACTACTGTCTACCTGTTTAAGCAATGCTTGGAGTAACACTTAACCAGGTAAACATGTAGCAAAAAGGCACAAAAAGACCAAAAAAAAAGAAAATCTGCTGTCATGTGAAAAGCACCTCTATTGCCCAAAAGTAACATTAAAAAAATAAATCAATCTGTCCAGTAGGGAAAACTATCCAAATAAAGGAACCATACCTTCTGACTTTTACTACATACTTGGCACGAGGAGAGGGAAATCACATTTGGGGCTGGAAACTCGGGGATTGCTGCCTTGGGAGGGTAGGGAGTTGAGGGAGAAAAAAAGGCCAAACACTGGGGAGGGGGAAAGGAACAGAAGGAAAGAGAATAAGGAGCAGAAGGTGCACTTACTGTTTGGTTATCTTCATACAGCTTCAAGTCATATCCACTCAGCTCTACACAGAAAATTATTGCTGTAACCCCCTCGAAACAGTGGATCCATTTTTTGCGTTCAGATCTCTGTCCACCCACATCCACCATTTTGAAAGTCAGCTCTTTGAAGGTGAATTTATTTTCTACAATCCCTGTGGTCATGTCCCGAGAACGCAGAATATCTTCCACTGTAGGGATGTAGTCCAGTGCTGCAATCCTCTCCAGGTCATTTAGGTAGTATGCAGCATTATCCTCTAGGTGGTACTCATTCGAGCGGCAAAAACACTCCTGCACACCTGGGTCTGCCCAGAGCCGTTTCATGACTCCCAGAAGCTCTGGGGTAATCTCACCTTTGCTCTCAGCTGGGCCTGTCAGGGCAAAAAGCTGCACAGCATCATACGCTCTGTCAGGATTGTGAAATTCTATCTTAAGGGTGGCTAGAGCCCGAATGATACGTGTGAGAGAGTCAATTGCATTATAGATAATCAGAGGTTTGTATTCTTTACAGGCCTCCAAGTTAAAGCCACCGCTATGGATGATTTTCATCTGCTTTACAATAGTACTCTTCCCAGAATTACTGGTACCCAGGAGGAGGAGCTTAATCTCTCTTCGTTGTCGCTGACTTTCAGAGCGCAGGTGGCGGTCAATCCTACGGGACCGCCGCGCTGCCTCTTTCTCCTCAGAGCTTTGCCGACATCCCATGGTATAGCAGGCAGTAACAGAAGGGAAAGGTTGGAGATTGTCTCACTCTGTTTACGTCTCTGAAAAAGATCTGCAGTGCCTTTCAGTTCTCGTGCCAGGTATGCCCTGAACGAGAAAAAAAGTCACTATCCAATACCTGCTGTTCCAAGATTCCTGTACCACCTAATTCAGGCCCAGCAAGGGTGCAAATACATGTAGATATGCAACCACAGAAGTAGTCTCTTCAGTAGACCTCATGGCACTCCCCTTTCCCGTGCATAAGCAGTGGCACATTCCTGTTAATGAAGGGACATTTCCCTTTGCCAGAGTTTGGCTAGATCCATCAGATACTCTTTTCTGTTCTGCATAATTATTTTGCTGCCTTCTGTCCAAAGGTAAGGAGCCACACTTCCACCTTCTCTGCTCTAGCCCTTGTCTTTTAGTTGTATTTTCTGGTTGCTGTGGTGATGCTGCTAGATAAAGCTGAAGCTCTTTTCAATGATGCTGTACTTGTTTTGTTTCTCTTCCCCCACTTCTTCAGCTGATCCAGTTCAGCTCTGTAAATCTGTGCTTTCCACCTGCCAAACAATGAGAAAAGAAATGAATGAAATGAGAGACTCCACTTCCTTGCTGCAAACCACTCACTTTCTCCTCCTCTTCTAGACTTCTAAACCTTTTATTATCCCAACAGAAAATACAGATGGAAAAATATGTAAAGAAAAGCAAAAATCTAAAACCCCAGCAAAAACGTAGGGACAGCTGAGGCTTGCAGACCTAAGAAAATGTGGCTTCTGAACAATAGTAAATCAAATCTCCCTTTCAGCCTTCTGTGTTTTATTATCTAAACCTACATGAAAACAAACAGTGCCGAGCTGTGCCCCAATTTCTCCCTCAGCAAGAGCTTATGGGAGCGTTTTTCCTGCACAGTCCTGTTCTGACTGGTTTTCCTGAAGTAGAAAATGAAACACTCACATCCACTTTTCCCACTCTCTCTATTTATATCAGTATCTTGTACTCAGACAGATGTCCTCCTGAGTTTTCTTTCATCTTTTCTGTTTATACTGAACATTTAAATAACTAAATTAGGAAGTAAAAGGAGGTGATTAAGTTTCCTTCATGATTTTATAAAAGGGGGAGTTACTGATTTTTGCAGAATATGGTGGCAGATATTCTTTCCCCTTGGAGAATAGTGCTGTTAAACATACTGCCTGCATCCTGCTTGATAAAGTGATGCACTACTACAACAAACTTTGTAAGCTTCCTCCCATAGCCAAGCTAGGTGTTATTAAGCCTCCTCTCTTCCATTTTTAATATAGGAAATTCTGAGATGCAGTAAAAGTGAACAGTGACTACAAGGTGAATGTTTCACACGTAAAGCACAGGAAATGCCATCCCAATCAAGCACTGAGAGCTTTTCAGTGCCTGTTAGAGCAATTATTCTTTCCCAAATTAGGGGTTAAGCCTACTAGTTGGAACTCTACAGAAGGCAACAGCAGGAAGCAGTGACCTCTCACAGAGGGAAAACACATTACTAAGAGCTGATTGACGAGAACTTGCCCCTTTCCTAGGAAGCACTTGCTGCTCCCACTAAGCTCTCAGCACAGTGGGCAGCAGAATCACAGATGTCCTGGCTTCCTCATGGTATGCTGGCCCCAGCCCACTTTGGCACCTACCTTGCTATTTACTTGTCTTTAGAGGGTCTTCAGCGAGTATTTTTACAAACTAAACTACATGCCACTGAGATACCCTCAGAGGTAGTCTTAAGAAAAATTTCAGAGCCTACTAAAGAAATATGAGTTCTAATACATTTAATCACTCGCTCTTAAATACTTTCACTGATTCTATATTTATCTTTAAATCCCTTCCTAACTCTAACCCTGCTTAAGGGAGATACAGAGTTGAACCAGTGTAGACCTGGGTGCAATTCATGCCTACCAGAATGAGTCAGTATAGGTCAGGATTGGTACTGGTGTATTGAGGAGAGCATCATATTTCAGTTAGAAGATGAGTAGATGGTTGTTGCAAACAATTGCAAAACTCCACAACTGTTCACAAAAAAGTGAACACTAAAAAAAAACAGTATATGAAGTATACTGATTAAAATGTGCTTTGATATCCCATTTATATTCCTGTCTTTCCTTAGATTCCCAGAACACTATTAACATACACATTTTCAGAGCAGTAGCTTTTACTCCGTTCTGAAGATCTGCGATACAGTATTTCAACTTCCCCTGCTCTTTCTTGCTTCTACTTAAACCTGCCTTTTCACTACGTTCTTTTAACCTCTATGCTCTAACACCTGACTCTAAGCCCATCCCAAATCCACATGCATTAAATTAATTAACTAGAACAGGACTTTTACAGTAACCAATTCCAGAAACTAACCACAACAATCTTGTTCTCAGTTGTTCTAAACTAGTTATCCAGCCAGTACATCAAATCACCTCTACAGGACAGTTCAGAGTGTTTATCTGTCACCTTTGCCTGTATGGACCACAGCATATGAACAGGATTTTAATTTCAGCATTTTGGGTACCTTGAATTTAAAGATGTCTGAATCCCTTGTCCCAAATGCACTGGGTATCGCTATTACCTGATCTAGAACGCTACAAAAGAGTCTCAATATCAGCTATATTTATCTTGCTTTCCTTTGCATGTCAGAAGGACCTTAGCACATGAAAAACAGATTATTCAGCAGAGAATTTTAATAAATAACAGCATACACATTAATAGAACGGTAATTAGCACAACTTTACTTACTCTAACACATGAAAGATGTGGAAAGCAAAACCCTCCAAAGTGAAGAGTTATACTTTCTTCAAATAATTGCCTTTTTCCAATGGTCATAACAGAAGGAAAATAAGAGTTGAGGAAGCTGTTTCTTAAGAGAGTAACTTTCCAGCCACACTGAGAGAATGAAATGACCGTATTAGATATCAGGCCAAATTCTTATTTTAATTATATAAAAATTAAAGTTAGCTCCATTAATCATGCTTATTCTGACATGTTCACAACATTTAAAACTAGTTTTCCTTTAAGTCCTCATCATTAGAAGCTTAATTTCCATATCACTGGTAAGACCACTGGTCAAAGTCTTTGTGACATTTTCTGCGATTAAAGATAAATTTTGCAAGAAGCACATCCTCTCCTTATTCAAGTTTCATCCTGAAATAAAGAGGCTTGCTAGAAACAAGAAGCAAGAGGATACATATTCCTTCCAAAATGCATCTGTACTTATCTTATATGGGCATAAAATCTCCGATTTAATATAAGTAGATCTTTTTTTAAAACTGTATGCTATTGGCCTCAACAATCGCTCATGACAAACAGTTTGGTAGAAAGAAACTTTCAAGTTTTTTTCTTTTCAGACAGCTTGTACATTTCATAGAGTATTTCATATTGCATACTTCCACAACACATTCAGATGCATCATTCATATCCCACAGTATTTTCAACATCAACTATTCTGCTTGCCATTCATTAATATGTTTAACACAGAAAAGGATAGAGTAGCACCTCCTTACTGTAGGGAAGACCAGGAGTATGTGAACAGTGATTAAATGAGTTTTACTCTGCATTTCCTTTTTTTTTGGCTTCAAATAATTCCTATTGCATATATTGCAATGATAATTGGATATCACTACTTCAAGTAGGGATACAATGAGGCAATTCTATTATTGCTGTGTAAAGCAGAGTAGCAGATACCATTGCCAAACAGTTTACTACAGCAAGAAAGTTTGATTTCTTTAAAGAAGTTTTCCCATGTACACTGAAAAGCATCTTCCATGTTCACAGCTGCTACTTTTTAAAGTTTAGAAAAATAACAACTTTACAAACTATTACATTACTACATTTTACTGTCCTGGCTACATAAAGATGAATTTCCTCTTACCAGTTTTACCTTTTCTTGGAACACACTCAGAAAATAATAGAGTCTAGAATTTGTTCTGGTTTTTTAGATCAGATTTCATATTAGAAATGCAAGTGTTTCATGGCTATGAGTTTCTAATTAGATAAAAATCTTTTCAGTTACTCTAATGGAAAGCCCGATTACTTCCTTTCACTGTGCACATTTCTTTCTAAACTTGCTTAAAAAAAAAAATCTTATTCTTTGAATGACCAGATTATACGGAGTATGTGCTTCTATACTAATACATCTGCCTTCTCCTGACAATTGAAGCTGCTCAAAATGTTAAGAAAATATATTTGTTAAAACTGCTTATATATATATGGGCTATCTTGTCATGACTAAAAATGGGTAGTCCGTCCCACAAGATAAAATTAACATGCCCCAAATCCAGAGCTAACAGCGAAGAAGTAATGCTAAAAGGTTTGGTTTTGGAATAGGAAGCATACTCGAGCAAAATTTTGCAATGGTTTATTATATAAATCTGCTGAAGCCCATTTAAATAAGCAGGCTGTTTATTACTAGCACATTCTTCTGTCCATACTCTTACCAATAAAACCAGTCATTACTGTCGATTTCATATCTAGGCTTGTTCTTTGCCCCTACCCATCACTTCTGTCTTGCTCAAACTGTTCTGTATGTTTGTAATCACAAGCACTCATCCCTTTTCTCAGCACGTTCAAGTAACAAATGGGGGGAGGAAGGAGGATGACACTACAACACCACAATTCAACTGTAAAAGTTTCCCTAAGGAAAGATCTGAGTATTGTCTCTTCTTGCATTAGCTACTGGCACATTATCACAGAATACAGAGTTAGAGAATCTGCCTTGAAAGATGTTCCCCTCCCAAGATTTTATGGCAAGGGGCTGGCTTCTGGGCTGAGAATAAAACCAAGGCTGTTACTACCACAGTCAATATAGAGACTGTGCATACAGTATGCTGTTAGCAGCTTTCAGCTGGCGTTGTAGGCACAATGTTATATTCTCCCTCAAATACAAGTGGTACCAGTAGTCTAGCAATTTAGCTTCACCACCACCAGCCCACACACATAGAGCTTTAGGAGCCTAATCTCATTCAGCTCTTTACAGCGTTTCCATCCTAGTAGCCAGATGATATGTGTAATTTTTCCCCAGTAGTACCTAATTTAAGAAAGTAAAATGAAGTTTTAAACTATACAGAAGTAAACAAAACTTCACCTAAGCTGTACTTTTCCCAGCTTATTGGTTCCGATTGCTGCTTCTTTCTCTTTACTGACCTGAAAGTTTAGAGGTGGTGGACCTGCCTGTTTGAGCACTTGCCCCTGTAAAAGCAAATGCAAGCAAATCTAGCAAGAAGCAGCACAGCACACATTAAGACTTACAAGTGTAAGCTAACCTAATGTAATCAGTTTCTAATGATTATACACATCCACAGAGGATTGAAGCACTTTAACAAAACCTTATTC